ATGGGTAGGGTACTGTGAGACTCCTACTCACTAAAACCCACAGCGGAACCCGTCGCCGCAGTGCAATGGGGTGTGCAGGATCGCTTGCGCATTCACTGCAACATCCCTGCGGACAGCCCGTACCCCGCGGGCCTGCCTTGCCTAAACCGGGATGCCCTCGATTCACAGAACATCCCGACCGCCCCGATGACGTGCAGGGGAGTCAACGAGAGACCCCCCCGCAGTAGCTCCTCTAGGGTGGCGGGAGAAGATGCGCGTACCGGCGCCTCCTCTCCCCCAGCCGACGGCGACGAAGAGGGTCTGCTAAGGCGTTAGCCTCGCGTTCCCTCTCCGCCGTCTCCTTCAGTGAGATGACGGCCTCGCTGAAGGAGACCATCGCCGACCAGGACCTCTCATCGCGTAGCATGGCCCCCACCACGCTTCTCCACCCACTACCGCCATCAGGGCCTGGCGCTGGGGAGCCCAAGCGGCGCATACTGCGAGGGTGTGGTGCGAGGTGTCCTCGGAAGCACCACACTCGTGGCATACGGGCAACGGTTCCCGACGCGCAACTTGATACAGATACTTACCAAAGCATCCGTGCCCGGTAAGCATCTGCATCAACCTGAACGTCAGGACGCCGTGTGGCCGCCTGACCCAGCGAGACAGGAACGGACGAACCGCCCCCACCGTCGCCAGGCCAGCCGCTGGAGTCCCCAGGTCTTCCCACCAGCGCCGGATCAGTGCCTCGTCAGCTAGGCGCCTGATCCGAGCGACTCCCTCCCGCGCTGGACGTTCCCCTCGAGCCCGCTCACTCGCCCGAAACTGATAAACTTCGGCGAGCACCTCCGCCTGGAGTTCCCAGGGCGGATCGCCCGCCAGAAGTGTCGCCGCCGTGAAGGACACCGTACGGTATCCCCGCACCGCCCTCACCGCCAGGACCCGTTGCGCCTTGCGCAGTTGGGCCCTGTTAAGTGCGGAGAGGGCGTCAATCCACACGGGGGCACCGTACAGTGCCATGGACCTCACGATGCCGGCATAGAGCCGCCGGCAGTGAGATCCAGGGCCCCCGACATTTGGAAGAAGTCTACCGAGGGCCGAGGCGGCGCCGATCAGTCTCGGGGTGAGCTGGGCGAAATGGACACGAAACGTCCAGCGTCCGTCCAGGGTCAGGCCCAAGTAGCGCATATGGGCCCGAACCTCCACCATCCTACCCTGGACTCGCAGACAGGCGTTGCGGGGGGCACCCTTGCGTGGGCCATGAAAGAGGAGGGCCTCCGTTTTGGAGACAGAGACCCTCAGGCCCAGCATCCCTATCCGGTCGGCGACCAGATTGGTGCCGACTGTGGCCAAGCGTGCCGCCTCCTCATAGGAACGATCCCGGGCTGTGACGAGGGTGTCATCAGCGTAGGCGATGACACCGAGCCTGGGGAGGAGCGGACAACGCAGGAGCCAGTCATAGCCGAGGTTCCACAGTACCGGGCCCAAAACGGCCCCTTGTGGAACCCCGCAGTCGACACGTCGCCGACCGACCACCCCATCTGCCCCCTTCCACACGACCTGTCTGTCACGGAGGTACGCGTCCAACACCCGCCGGAGATAGAGAGGCACCTCATGGTACCGAAGTGCCTCTCGTAACGTCTCAAACGGCAGGGTGTTGAAGGCGTTGGCCACATCCAATGAGACGGCTAACAGCACGCCTCCCTCCTCCACCGCGGCCAAGGACCGAACCTTCAGGGCGTTCAGGGCGTCCACGGTCGACCGACCCGCCCTGAACCCGAACTGAGCCTCTGAAAGGCCCGGCCCCACCTCCTCGAGATGCTGAGTAAGACGGGCAACGAGAATTCTCTCGAAGAGCTTGCCCATCTCACTCAGCATCACGATCGGCCTGTATGCCGAAGGGGAGTCAAGAGGACGACCCTCCTTGGGCAACAGGCACAATAATCCCTCCTTCCAGATCTTCGGGAACTGCCCAACACGAAGGCACGCGTTGAACAGGTCCCGAAGATCCCCTCCCAGGTATTCCAGGGCAATGCACAGAACTCGCCCCGGAATACCATCCGGTCCCGGAGCCGTCCTCCTAGCCCGCAATTTGTCCTGGGCCAGGTCCATCTCCCCCTCAGTGATTGGGGGGAATTCCTCAACTCCCACAGAGCGCGTGGGAGGAGCCATCACCGGGGGGACGTGCCCAGACGACTCCGGGAACAACCCTCCGATCAGTCGCAGGAGGACCTCGGGCGGCGTGGTCTTCGTGACCGGGGGGCCGTGCGCGCGGAGTTTGTTCCGCGCGCTGATGTAAGGGCGCCCCCATGGATCCCGATCCAGGCCCGCCAGCATTTCCTGGCGGGCCGCCGCCTTGGCCTGGCTGATAGCGAGCTGCAGGGCCTTCTTCGCTGACCGATAGGCCACCCGCAGCTCACTCTCCAAAACCGGGTCCAGGCCATTCCTCCTGCGACACCGGACAAACCTCCGTCTATGCCAGTTGCAGGTCGCCCGAAGCTGTGCAATTTCGGGCGACCACCAATACACGCTCCGGCGATGCCGGGCGAACCACCTAGTCCGCGGCATGGCCGCATTGCACACCCTCGTAAGGGCGTCGCACATGCGGCCAGCCAGCTCCTCGACATCGGAACTGGCGCCCACCACACTCCCCTGGGAGCACCATGCTTCAACGATGGCCGCCTCTCTGGCCAGCTCTGTATCAAGCCGGCCCAGGGCCCATCTCGGAAACGCTCGAGAAGGCCCCCTTGGGCGGTCCACCGGCACCGGACGGGTGGAGATCTCAAATCGGATATAATTATGATCCGACAGAGTCTCCACCTCCTCCTCTACCCTCCAGTTGATCACCCTGCGTGCGACGGCGGGGGTGGCGAACGTTAGGTCCACCACGGACCCCCCCTGCTGTCGCACGCACGTGAACGCTGTCCCCACATTGAGCAGGAACAGACCGGAGAGTAGTGCCCACGTCTGAACGGCTCGCCCTCGAGCGTTCGACGTGGGATTCCCCCAGGCCAAGGACTTGGCATTAAAGTCGCTGAGGACGATAGTGGGCCTCGGCGACTGCCTGCAAACCGCAGCGCGGACGGAGTCGAGGAAGATCTTGAACTCCGCCAGACTGCGGTTGGGGGAGAAGTACACCGCAACGATGGCGTACTCTCCCCACCCTGCCACGACAAGTCCTTGGCCCCTCTCGATTGCCGAGAGACGGGGGCCGGTGCTGCTCCCAGACACTATGGCCACGGAGCCCTCTAGGTCCCCCACCCAGTTCGGTTGGTGAGGGACAAAGTAGGGCTCACAGGCCACCGCCAGACCTATCTCCCACTCGGCCATGGACTGCAGGAAAAGGTCCTGCGCTCCGGCCGAGTGGTTCACATTCCCTTGGAGGAAGCGAGTGTGCCTGTCCATTAAGATGACATCACTGCTTCCTCAGCCTGGCGGCTACCGGCACTAGCGACGGCTCCGGTCCCTGGAGCCGTCTTGCCTTTCGTGATGGGTGGGTTGCAATCCCGCCCACCCATCATATGCCCAGAGGGGCGCCCCACATCCGCGCAGACCGCACAGCGGACTGTCTTCGCGGTGCAGGCAGCGGAATGGTGTTCGTCGCTGCCGCACCGGAAACACAGGCGCCCCCGTTCCACCCTCGATGGGCATCGTGGTAGGGTATGCCCCAGACCCATGCATCTGAAGCAGCGCAATGGGCGCTGCTCCAGTACCTCGACCTTGGCCGACGACCACCCGACCAGAAGTCGGCTTGCGTCGGCCACCTTTTTGGCTGCCGTAACTGGGCACCTTACGACAGCCATGCCCATCCCCCCTTTCCCGGTGTGGACCCGGCTCACCCAGACAGACTCCGTTGAACAGCCGCCCGCCCTGGCGACTGCCTCGGCCACCGCCTCCTTGGTGACCGAGTCATCCAGGCCCGACACCCTCAGCTCACCCGTTTTAGCAGGGCGAGCGATGGTCGCCACCCCGTCTAGTACTTTGCGGAGTTTATCCGCCAGCCTATCCGCCGCTTCAGGCGGCACCGAGGCTGCAAGCTCCAACAACCGCGCCCCGGTTGCCGCAACCCTCACTGATAGACCGCCCGTTACACCCAATTGGGACAGGTCTATGTTCGCCCGTGCGCGCTCCAGCAGCTTGGCATAGGTGACACCCTTCGATGCCGCCTCCTGCTGGAGCGTTATTATAACAGCCGCCGTGCGCGGCGGAGCCGATACCTTCGGTTTAGCCGGCGCCGAAGGGGCCTTCTGCGCGACAGGCGCCTTTGGCCCCGAAGGGGTCTTTGGCGCCGACTTTGCACCCGCCGGGGCAGCCGGGGCCGCTGGGGGGGAGGACTTCTTCCCCTTCCCTTTGCCCTTGCGGACCACCGTCGCCCATGTGCCCTCATCCGCAGTACTTGGTCCCGCCACAGGGGCCGGCGGAGCTGGTCCCGCCACAGGGGCCGGCGGAGCTGGTCCCGCCACAGGGGCTGGTGGAGCTGGCTCCGACCTAGGACGCTCCGGGGCTGCCATCCTAGCCTCTTTAGGCTGACGCCTACGCGCCGCCGATCCCTCTCCAGCCGCACTCGCCACCAGTGCTGGCTTACTCCGAGGCTCTCTCGGGGCAGGCGTCGGCGCACCCGCCTCCCTTCTTTTGTCCGCTGCAAGAGGCGGACGAAGCGGCCTAGCCGGCAGCAGGCGCTCCTCAATGCCGGCAAGTTTGGCATCGATCAGGGCCCCAACCGAGGAGATAAGAGAGGCCCTTAGCTCCTCCAAAGCCTCCCCCGGCAGAGAGGAGGACGGAGCACTCGCCCTCATCTCGGAAAACTGCCGACGGTGCGCCTTCACCTCCGCCTTCAGGTTCTCCACCTCCTTACGCAGCCTCTCATTATCGGCCGCAACCTTCCTCGTCTCTTCGTTCGATGAACGAGCCGCCAGGGTGTCCACTATCCCCGTTAGGGCCGCTGCAGCCATCTTGAGACGGCGGACATATTCACCCTTCAAGTTGCCAGAGGTCCTGGCAACATGGAAAATCTCCGTCACCTTTCGCCCTGCCTCTGCCCGCAGGCCCTGCACATCCATAGCAGCGTTTGCATCCTCCCGGCTCTCAGGGGCAGACAGGTCTGAGCCAAACTCAAAGACTGCCTTGTCTGCCTTGCCCGTCTTTTTACGAAAAGCGCGCGCCTCAAGCGCGCGCTCAAATTCCGCCTCCCTGGCCTCAGCCTCCATCCTGCGCAGATCCGCGCGCGCCCGGGTAAGAACCGTGCCACTCCCTGACCCAATGGGCCTACCCCTACGCGCCTTGTTCTCCTTGGCGCGGACTCGCTCATCCGTCTCCGTTTCCGAGCCAGTAGAGCCCGCCAACGGAGGACGCGGAGCAGTCCTCTTGCGCCCAATGGACGCATCTGTGTCCGCGCTGGCGTCTGAGTCAGCCATGACTCATTCGCCAACCGCACACACACGCAACACACCCAAACTACGCGACAAACGTCGCAAAAACAACAACAAATCCAATGAGAAAGAAAAATCAAAAATCCACGAGAAAAGCCAGAAAATCAAACATGTACAGCAAGAATCGGTATCCAGTCAATATAGCGACTCACCCTAGCTTCACTTGGGTTCGCCCCTATGTACTTGTATAGTATTAAATTATTTGGATATTGTTCATACAAAAATACTAAAATCGTGATTAAAAAATAGGGGGTGAGGGTAGGAGGGTGACCAGAAATCAACACATACTCTTATGTTAAGCGACTAAAGTATGTTGTTTTCACAACAAGCATTTCATTCTTCACAAGCATTAGTGCAAATTATGTTATTGAAGTACCAACTAATGTTCAATCAAGTACTGAAATGATTTTTTATTCTAAATTTCTATGAAAAACATTATTATATGAGCTTTTAAGCTTTTTACCCCTAAGAGCAACTTAGTTTTTATTATTTCAATATTTTACCACAATAACAGAGATGTTTTAAGCAAGTTTATTTATTGCTATATCCACTGCAACTCCCAAATGCATCTAAACGCTCTACGAGTGGTCATTCTTTCTAATATTCCTTTTAATGTGACCGGCCGGGGATGTTGACTTTAGTGCACTTTAAAATGCTGCCTTATTTTGTACTAGCGATTCACCCTCGCTTCGCTTTCGGATTCGTCTCTAGGTGGTTCTTTAAGTTGACATAACTTTTTTATTTATGAACCAATAGAAAAAAAACAAATACTAAATGTTAAGTGATACTAATCACAGTATATTATTGAAAACCGCACACAAATCAATTAAGCTTTTTCTGAGATAAGCGCGCAAAAACGCACAGACAAACATTTTGGTTCCATTACGTTAATAAATACTCAACAATAATTTTTCTCAAATATCTTCTATGTACAGACAGCGATCAAGTACACTTTCATTATATCTATAGAAAACACATACATATAAGTTATCGTACATTCGGCTAATCACTTATATCTTCTTTATACTATACGCAAGTTTCCTACTGTTTTTATATTGTAAGGTAAACATGTCTCACTCTTTTAAAAAATTGATTTACTGGTAAAAACTAGCCAAGTCAAACCTTGCCTTCAATAAACTTCAATTAACTAAACTTCAATTTATCCTAAGTTATCTACTCTGTGTAAATAATTCGATCGTTTAAATTTAAGAAGTTCTATTTTTATATAGCAAACAATTTTGTAGCAGAAAAAAACAGGAAATTGTGTTTTAAGTTTTTGGAAAATTTTATTGAAATAGTCATTATTATCGATACAGTGGCCGAATTTTTGTCTGTCTGAAAACCACTGGACACATTTTAATAAAATTTGATATGTTGATAGCTGGTTATCCGGGTCAACATATTCTCTTATCTCTGAGAAATCTATACTAACGCGAGTCGCTAGTAGTAAATATACCTACAGTATTCTAAATATTAAAACTTAAGCAATGTAATATTGAAATCTCAAGACGTCGCCTGTTTAAAATAACAGATGACAGAGTGATGTTTTATTCATTGGCTGAAAGTTGGACCAATATCGTGGTTAACGGACGAAGTGAGGCCGATAGGTGTAATTTACATTTTAATTTTATCCCACCCACCTATTTACAGTTTGGTCATGTTTATGCAAGGCTTTTATATAAAATTAATATTGTCATGCTTTTCATAAGAAATCTGATATCAAAAATGCAAAAATCTGATTGTTTGTTTGTTATTTCTTTATTTTTTAATACGTGTTGCTGTTTATTACGTAAATAAGGTTTGCCATTAAAAGATTTTCTATAAAAGCGTTAATTTATGGTTTTTCGAAATATATAGGTACTCAAATGCCACTTACTTATTTAAAACAACTTTCAAAAAGGAGGAAGTTCTATGTTCGTCTGTATGTATCTTTTTTGTTTAAGTGGTTGTCTTTGGTTGACTTTACTTATTATTTCTATTTTACAATATGTACAATTCACCGTATGTTTAATTCCCATGAGAGAGATAGAGTGTGTTTGAAGACATTGGGTATTTAGTATATACTAACGACTCACCCTCGCTTCGCTCGGGCTCGTCCCTGTGATTCTTTACGTTCACATATTTTTTTTATTTATAACCCGATTGAAACACTAAATGTTAAGTGAAGCTTACCACAATTAATTAGTGACCGCACCCAAATTGGTTAGGCCGTTTCTGAGATTATCGCGTAAACCGACAAACAAACAAATAGACGAAAATTCTAAAAATCATAATTTGGTTTCTATTGGGTTAATAAAGACCCGCAATAGTAGTTTTTCTCAAATATCTTCCATGTACAGACAGCAATCAGTTACAAAATTATATGTATGATAATATGAATTTTCATGTAAATTGTCATCATATCCAATAGTTCCTGTATAAGTTAAGACACATAAAGATTTGTTTTATATATAGTGTTCTAGCATTAAACAGCTATTGGCCTTATGAAGTCATGCTATAGTATCTTATTTGTACAAAATTGTGGTGTAGTATTAGGCATCTTTCACACTATTGATTGAATATTCACGAGCCCGACACGCCTCGTTCAATATGCTCCGATTGTCTACCTCACACTCGCACGGAACGACATGTTTGTATGTGAATAGTGATGCGCATATTTATAACTGGTATGTTAATTCTATTAATGAAATAATTATTTAAGAAATAAATAATTGGGATGTCCGTCTTAATATTTATGTGGATGGATGGATGTCGATATTTATTTTTAGGATTGGATTATTTTGATGTATGTGGGTTGGAGGAAAGGATAATAATATCCATTATAATCAAGCCGTTCCAAAGATTACACCGGACAGATAGACAAAAAAAATAAAAATGGTTGTTTAGGTACTGGTATAACTCTATGTACTTGATATAACATGTTTTCTTGAAGTGGCTTAAAGACACTATAATTTTACTTATAACTAGCGACTCCCTAGCTCCCTAGTTTGCTTCCCAATACAAAATTTTCATCCACATTTTCACCCTTTAAAGGGATGATTTCCGGGATAAAAAGTATCCTATATCCTTCCCAGGGTCTCAAACTTTCTTCTTACCAAATTTCATTTAACTCAGTTCCAGTCGATCCAGAGATTACCCCTTACAACCTCACAACCTCACAAACTTTACCTCTTTATAATATTAGTATAGATATTATGTATAATATATAAGTTAATTTCAGCGAAATTAAAACATTTTCTTCTCTATCTAATGAAGAAAAAAGAAGGAATCTTACTTGATAATTTTAATTTACTTCTGTACCACTATTACTATAAAACCCCAAGAATATCAATCCTCATCCTTAAATATTTGATCCGCATTTAATAATTCGACATAATATTTAGCCATCACTTAAAAACCCTTTGATTTCCACCGTAAAAGTAGGATAGTACATAAAAAGAACCGTACATTGCGCATTAAGACTATAACATACATATGTATGTTTTATGAATATGACCGTAGGTCCGCCATAAATAAGTCATATAAGATGTAATAGCGTCAGTTCGCAAATGACCGGCGGCAACCCCTCGTTCTTCTTAATAGCTTATATACAGAATATTCTGAACCGAGTTTCAAATGTAACATTCTATTAAGTTATGAAACAGTTTACTTTTGCCTAAGTTTTATTATGACAAATATATGACTCGACAAACTTTTGGTAGACGCTTTGAATGTAAAATTGTTAGTTTACACGGTGTATGTACGTAGTTTTATTTCACTTTTAAATGTTTTACGAAGATTTTCTGTACCTTCGCTTTAATGTTTATTTTGGTATCAAAATACTTTTCTTCTGTTTATTGCGCTTAACCTTTATAGTCGTTTTTAGGGTTCCGTACCCGAAGGGTTCCAACGGAACCTTATTATAAGCCTATAATATAATCTATATTTATTTATTATTTAATATATATATATATATATATATATATATATATATATATATCTTTATATATATAATTCTTCTGTGAGTGTGTATGTCACTGAACTTCTCTCAAACGACTTGACCGATTTTGATGAAATTTTTTGTGTGTGTTCAAGGGGATCTGGGAATGGTTTAGATTGACAATTTGAATAATAATTTTCATCAAAAAAATTATTAAAAAAAGTTTGAAATTTTCAAATTAAAGACGTGTAGACAGGACAACGTCTGTCGGGTCCGCTAGTATATATATAAAATAAGTACAAAGGTTTGTTTATTAACGCAATACCGGGTACAATCTATACATACGAGTATAATAAAATTCTGAGTCGAATCTGTACATTAAATATATTTTTTTTAAATCTTAGACAGTCATTATTAACAATACAGAGGCCGAATCTATAAATATTTGTCTCTCTGTCTGTCCGGTAACGATCACGAAAAAGAACAGATTTTGATTAAATTTGGTACGATGATAACTGGTTATCTGGGTCAACATATAGGATACTTTTTACTGCGAAAAAATATCTCATTTCAGAGAAATCTATAAAAACCGTTAAAACTTAACTAGGGACGAACTCGAGCGGAGCGAGTGTGAGTCGCTAGTATTATATATTAAGTCTTATTAAATGACAGCTTCCTAAATCTCTTGTCAATTATACTCTTTAAATAATAAATGAAATTAGCAGTAGTATTTTTTTATATAAAAACTAATAGAGAATTATTTTTAGTATACGAATATTACATTTTCACGAAGTTATACTTCAAAAATAGTCATAAAGTCCTAAGCCTTCATATTTAAATTATTTCCTGCATTCTTCAACACGAGGAAGTCGATGTAAAATGCATGAGTAATAATCTAATAGCGGAATGCTACATTGTTTGGCTTTAGCCCAAACCTCTGTGCCATGTGTCAATTGCACACCCACATCCCTTTGCCTATAAAATATAGTTTCTAGTGTTGTTTTCTTATTGGAATGAAAGAAAGATTCTTGTTTGTTTATATTGTGCATTTAATTATTTGTTTTGTGTCTAATATGAGAAAATCTTTTATCTTCAGGAACGGGGTGATCTTTTATAACAATAAATGCTAATTGTAACACTAAAGTATTAAATTTTTTAATTGTGAGTATTGACTTACATTTAAAAAATTGAACAATTTAGAATGAAAAAAGGAATACCTTAGGATATTAATTTAGGCTCGTATTTATTTTTATTTTAACAGCTTTGTATATGAAACTAACAAGTCAATAATGTGTAACAAAACGTGCTTAAAGATGTGTTAGGCACGAAATATACACAGCCCTTTTTAATATTCCACTGCTGGGCATGGGCCTCCCTTCAATACTCTTGTATTGAGAGGATCAGGCAATAGTCCACCACGCTGGCCAAGTTCGGGTTTGCGGACTTCACATATCTTTCGAAAACTTGATAGGTTATCTCGGACATGCAGGTTTCCTTATGATGTTTTACTCCACCGTAAGACAAGTAGTAAGCATGTTGGAAATGATGCATATGAAAATTTCACAGGTGCGAGACCCGGGATTCGAACCTGAGTAAAGCGGGTTTTCCAAACGAGCGCGCTACTACTAGGCAACCACTGCCTTCAATATATCGCCACGAAATATATCATGAAAACCCACTACTTATTGCTTTAAGATCAAAGCTAAAAATCTATTCATCAAGCCTCTTAACTTAGTTTTGGTGTCTAAGAACATTCTGAGGCAATTGACCTATTATCTCAACCATGCTCTTTTACTAAAGAGCTTTCATAATAGAATCTAATGAACAGTTTATTTCAAAAGTATTTTTTGTGAATAATGATAACTATTTTTATATTTTGTAAGTTATTCGCGCGATATTAAGGCATTTTTTCTATAATTTTCTGTTTATTATATAAATAAATAAATATGTTGGGACATTAAAACACAGCACCATCTAGTTCTATGGTAAGCTACGAGGCTTGTGTTATGGATACCAGATAGTTGATATACTACACATTTATAATTTTAAATACATACATATTAAATAAATAAACACCCATGACAGGAGAACAAACTTACGTGCTCATCACACAAATGAATGTCCCCCAGCGGGACGCGAACCCGCGATCGCTAGCACAGCAAATAGGGCTACTACAAACTGAGCCAAACGAGTCGTCATATATTACAGATTTTTTGTATAAAATAGGTTTATTGTAATAAATTTGTAGATAAAGTAGTCGTTAAGAATAACGAAGAAGAAAAGAAAGTAGTCATAAAATTCGAATTGAATTTGAAATAAAAATAAACTTATAGCATTTCATATATAATCAATAATCAAAAAACAATTAATTACTATAACGCAGGTAAAAGAAAAGTCGAATTTTAGATCTAGTCGGCTCGCGGCTCGTGATGAGTGCAAAGTAAAAGTGGCGCGCTCTCGCGAAAACTAACGTAATCGGTTCCCCCCTGCGCCCGCGTCCCCTTAGCATCCATATCGTTCACACTCATTACAAACCGTTTACCATAACTTTAATAACATTTTTATACTTACTAAAAACATAACAAAATAAAATATACAAATATAATACTTTTTATAATACGTCGCTTACAAACCGTTTACCATAACTTTAATAACATTTTTATACTTACTACAAACATAACAAAATAAAATATACAAATATAATATATTTTTTTTATAATGCGTCGCTTACAATATCTCCACCCCAGTGCTACATCAGCACTCAACATCCATAGGTACTTTAGCGACGCGTGCTGCCGAACGTTGTAGCAAGCTGGTTTTGGTTTTTACTTCAACCACTCGTACCCGGCCATCCTTTCCGGGGATTATTCTTTGTATGATGCCCTTGGGCCAGGTATTTCTAGGGCTTTCGGGGTCAGCGATTAATACTAAGTCCCCGACTCTTAATGGTTCTGTGTCGCGGTTCCACTTCTGCCTGGGCAGCATAGTAGGTAGCACTTCTCTCACCCAGCGCCTCCAAAACATGTCAGCTAACCTCTGTGTTAGTCTCCACTGTTTTCGTAAATATAAGTCGGAATCATCAAAGACACCTACAATAGGTAGATTGGATGATGAACCTAACAAAAAATGATTAGGGGTTATTGTTTCATTACTATTGGGCTCAACCGTCACATGTGTAAGGGGTCGACTGTTAACTATTTGCTCAACCTCAGTCATTAACGTTATTAAGGTTTCTTCACGCGGCGCCCTTTCTCTTAAGACAACTTTTAATGAGTCTTTTACAGAACGAATGAGGCGCTCCCAAGCTCCACCCCAGTGAGGACTAGCTGGAGGAATGAAGGTCCATGTAGTTCCATAGTTGACGGCCTCAGCTTTTTAAATATATGTTCATCCAAGTCGAGCGTTGCCTTTTTCAGCTCGTTATCGGCACCTCTTAAATTCGTACCGTTATCTGAGTAAATAAATTGAGGCCAGCCTCGACGAGCAGCCATGCGTCTGAGGGCCATGATCAAGGAGTCCGTGGTCAACGAAGGTACTAGTTCTATATGAATAGCTCTTACGGTAAGGCATGTAAATAATACACCATATCTTTTCTCTCTGCGTCTTATTACAGTAATTTCCATTGGTCCAAATAGATCTATACCACAATGTGTGAAAGGGCGACATCTGGATGCCATTCTGGCCGCAGGTAAATCACCCATTCTGGGTGGGCACGGTTGTGCTTTTCTTATTCTACAAAACATACACTGTGAAGCCACTCTTCTTACTGTCGGTCTTAATTTTAATATCCAATATTTCTGTTTCAGTTCATTAACAACAGCTTCATTGTGACCGTGCGCGGCTCTCACGTGGTAATATCGTGCAATAAGCCGGGCAACGTGATGACGTCCATCTAATATAACAGGTTGTTTCAGATGCAGAGGAACCTCGGTAGCTGCATTTATACGGCCTCCCACGCATAGGATTCCGTGCTCATTCAGAAAAGGAGATAAGGTAAGTAATCTACTTTTTTTATCTATTTCTTTTTTATTTTCCAGGTTGGCTATATCCCCAGGAAAGGACTGTAACTGAGAGTATTTTATTAGCCATCGCTCAGCAGCCGCCCTTGTGTATCCATCAACGCTAGTATCCAGTTTCTTGCATTTATTAATAAAGGTAAGTACTTTACAGGTTGAATTCAATAGATGTAACCAAGATGAAAACCTTTCAGGATCAGGAACAGCTGGTAAGGATTTATTATATGTTTGCATGGTCATAGTATATTCGAGATCCAGATGGGGCGTCTCCGGTAGCTGTGTGTCTACTGGCCATTCAGTATCTCGATCACGAAGAAACGCCGGACCATAAAACCACTCATTCTTTAACACAGATAAATCACAAGTCTCCTTGGTGGCGATATCCGCGCTATTAAGTTTCGTAGGTATGTAACGCCACTCGTTTGGTTTTGACAATTCATCTATTTCTCCTAAGCGATGAGCGACAAACGCTGTATAATTGCGCATATTGTTTCGAATCCAATGAAGTACAACACTTGAGTCACACCAAAAATATCTTTCGTAAGGTTTATGTTTAAGTTCTTTACATAAAGTATCTGCTAATCTCACAGCAAGCAACGCAGCTTGTAATTCCATGCGAGGTATTGACTGATATTTAAGCGGAGCAACTTTGCATTTACTCGCGACGAATGTAACATAATAGCGATTATTCACTGTCCAACGCCAGTAAGCTACGGCGCACATTGCTTTAGTCGACGCGTCACAAAATATATGTAGCTGTAGGTTCGTATAACATGAAGTTATCTGCCCGTTAGACGCGCACGCGAGAGATTCGCTAATACAAGACACTGGCAACGGCGGCCGCTCGGGTGACGTATGCGTAATCGCATCGGAAGTGCAGTGTAGTTCCGTCTCGTTTACTCTTGCGGCCGTTACATAATGCCTTGGGATACGCAGCTGATTAATTTCTTTTAATAATTGTAGCCATTCAATCCATTTTTCATAAATAATATCAGGTATTTTTTCATCCCAATCTAATTGTAATCTCCATACGTCTTGTAACATAATTTTTCCTTTGATTGTAAAAGGCGAAAGAAATCCAAATATATCGAAAATTGACATTAAAACTTTAAGCATCTGTCTCTTGCTAGGTCGCGTGTCGCCTGTTATTATATCTACAGGAATCTTCTTAAAAGAAACGTCAAAAGACAACAGATCTTCTTTCGGATACCAAATCAATCCAAGTGTACGTTCGCCCTCATTTGGCTGTTCAATTTTGAACCTTACTGCAGTCGTTCCTAAGGTCTCTTGTGGAATGCAGTTTAATACCGCTTCGTTGTTACTTGTTATGTTTCTTATCTCGAAGCCACCTTTTTTATGTATATATATAATATCTTGTATAGTTTTAATAGCCGTAGCTTCATTTTCTATACTATCTATATAGTCATCCATATAGTGTTGCTTATGAATAGCGTCCACGGCGGCCGGGTATAATGACTCATACTGCTTTGCATTTTTATTTTTTATAAATTGAGCAATAAAGGGCGAGCAATTAGCACCAAATATTAAAGACGTCATAGTGTATATATCGATAGGGCCATTTTGTTCTTGGTTGTCCTTCCAAAGAAATCTTAAAGCATCTTGATCTTTAGGTAAAATTTTTATTCTTAAATACATATCTCGTATATCTCCGGTTATTCCTATTTTATTCTCTCGAAATCTCAACATGATGCCAAATAATGCCATAAGTAGGTCGGGACCCTTCAAGAGGTAGTCATTTAACGAAACTCCACAGGTCTTTGCAGCGGCGTCGAAAACTAGACGTAATTTCTTTTTATTAGGGTTATCGACTCCAAAGTGCGGAAGGTACCAGGTTTTCGAGGTATCTTCTTGACAGGTAAGTTTTTTAGCATAGTCGTTCTCAAGTAAGTGGTTTATTCTTTCAGTGTATCTTCTAGCATAAGCTTTATCTGTCTTCAGTCTCTTCTGTACTCCTTTTAATCTTAGCGCGGCGTTAGGGTACGAGTTTGGTAGTTTACAGTTATTATCTTTCCAGGGTAAACCGACATGCCATCTTCCACTTTTAAGTACAGATGTTTTTTCTAAATATTGTATAGCTTGAAGATCTTCTAGATTTTTCCTGGGTTTCATGCTGATGCCCATTGATTCGATTGTAAATGATATTCGTATTTGTTCTTCTAAATTTCGTAACTTATTTTCATATTCTTTATCTGAATCGTTAGTAATGAATAACGCTGAATGATGTACTCGCTTAATGGGCGGGGTCTGGTGGAGCGGGGATGGTTCGCGTAAACATCCATGAATGCATAAGCCTAACTCAGTACGTGTAACATATAATTTACTATTTTTTAATTTTATTATTTGAAGCGGTAACAATAAATCATAATTATCTTGACCAATTAATATTTTAGGTTTACAGAGTTCATTATTTAAACAATTTTTAATGTCAGGTATAGAATGTACATAGTTAGTAAGATCAATCGACGTTGAATCATGTACAGGTAAGTTTAAGTCTTTTACACTTCTCACGCGAATAGGAAACATAGTTCCGTCTTTGTTTGACACGCTTAAGTCTACTATCTCACAAACACATTCTAATGAGTTATTGTTCCATGCACCACTCACACGCATAATTTGTTTATGTCCATTTAGTCCGAGTTTTTTTACAAGTTCATAATCTATTAACGATACGGTCGACCCGTCGTCTAGCAAAGCGGTAGCACTAATTACACCGTTTGGCCCATGAATATTGATAGGCACGGTTTTCAAAAACACTTTACAGTTAGATAAATTAATGTTCGTCACTGTTGCACTTTCTGTTATTTCCGTAATGTTTATATTACCCGGGGAACGAATATCTTTTGTTATAGGATAATGTAATAACCGATGATGCGACTGTCCACAGTTCTCGATATCACACGGCGCGGCCGGACATGTATCTCGATCGTGACGCGATAGTAAACACTTATAACAGATGCCGTGTCGTTTAACGTGACGCCACCGATCTTTTCGTAGTGATTTTTTAAAGCGCTTGCACTCTGTTAGCTTATGTTTAGAAACACGGCAGTATAAACACTTAAAGTCATGATTGTCTGTTGTCACTAGCACCGTATTATGTACGCGGTTGAAGTTATTGCCGATGAGATGAATATTAGATGTCGTCGAGATTTTCACCGCTTCTTCTTGTAAGAAATCTGCTAAAATATCCAATCGTGACTTCTTGCCCTCGGTGATAAGTGGGAAACTATAGTCTGACCATTTTGAGAGTAGGACTGTAGGTAATTTAGACAAAATGAGCGACACTATATTCATTCCTTGTAGATATTCATCGCGTTTGACGGATCTAATGGCTTCTATGAAGTTCTGTACTTTTACTGAGAATGAAACAATATCCTTCTGATAATCTTGTGAAATTGGGTACAGTTTTTTAATATCTTGCATAATTTTAATCACAATGCCGTCGGGGTTACCGAATCGTAGCTCTAATGTAGCCATTATTTTCTCAGGTTCCGTGGCACTGATTAAGAGGGCTGCGACAGCATCCCTGGCGGGTCCACGAAGACACTTACGTATTCTCCACAGGTTTTCTTTAGAGCTGAAATTACACACTTCCGTTGACTCTTCATATGCTTGTTTAAACTGCAGCCATTCCATGGGGTCGCCGGAGAAAGCAGGTAAGTCTCGAGGCGTGCTTAAGCGGCTCAGTAATTTAGCGTTAGAAGTAGTATTGTTGGAGGAGGCGGCGAGATCCCTTAGTGCACTAGCCAGCATCTGGACTGTTCCATGTGAAGTTCCAGGGTGAACTGACCCTGGGTGATGCAGCTCGCCTAAATCATTACCATGCTCGTTGACTGGCTGCACCTTTTCCATTTCTTGCTGACTGCGTTCTAACCACCTGTTCACCGTACTATGTGAGTAATTATCTCGAGGTTCACTTTGCTCATCTTCTAAATCAGCTAAGTCGGTTGCCAACCTCTTGTCAATTAATTCCATCTGTATTTTAGCCTTAGCTTCTGCAGCTAATAATTCCAGCTTAGCTTTTCGAGCCTTTATAGAAGAAGATGTAGATTTTTTAGATTCACTTTTTTTTGATGTGGGTATTTCAACGGGCGTGTCATCTACTTTTTTACACTTTTCAGGTAACAATGCTTTATTATCTAGGTTTCTTCTTATATTTTCCTTCTTAATCAACGTATTATTTTCAGACTCTTCAGCTGTCTGCACGTTTGGCTGGTAAGTTGATGGTTGGCTGGTCGACGCTTCCATATGTTTCGACATTTCGCGTTCTTTACGCACTGTACTTCGCGTGTTGACCATTGTAGATGATGGAGGTGTGGTGAACATAGATATAACAGTATAATTCGGCTCGAAGACCACTTTATAACGCAGGTAAAAGAAAAGTCGAATTTTAGATCTAGTCGGCTCGCGGCTCGTGATGAGTGCAAAGTAAAAGTGGCGCGCTCTCGCGAAAACTAACGTAATCGGTTCCCCCCTGCGCCCGCGTCCCCTTAGCATCCATATCGTTCACACTCATTACAAACCGTTTACCATAACTTTAATAACATTTTTATACTTACTAAAAACATAACAAAATAAAATATACAAATATAATACTTTTTATAATACGTCGCTTACAAACCGTTTACCATAACTTTAATAACATTTTTATACTTACTACAAACATAACAAAATAAAATATACAAATATAATACTTTTTATAATACGTCGCTTACAAACCGTTTACCATAACTTTAATAACATTTTTATACTTACTACAAACATAACAAAATAAAATATACAAATATAATATATTTTTTTTATAATGCGTCGCTTACAATTACAAAAAAACACAAACATACAAAATATTTTAGAAATTATTATGTTCAACCTAAAACTATACATGAGTTTAAACTTACATACATACTAAAGGCAGATATTCAAGATATATTACATGAAATACAATCCCAAGTGAAACATCAAACTGAACCTCAAAGAAAGATTCCATTGAATTCGGCAATGGGTTGCAATTTTGAAGCGGGATTCCGAGCGCGTGCCCGAACAAATCCGATAACGCGTCACGCCGAAACTTGCAGACTCAATTTCGAGAGGACACGATTACTCGTGAACAAGGCTAGAATCTTTTAGTACCTGAATACTGAGAACTCAAGTATAGGATGTTATTTCTCTTCTTTATGTGACGAAAAATCTATACTTTAAAGACGCTTGTAATAAAAGAAATTATGTAGCTATCTGACACCGCGTAAGGACTTTTACTGGCAAAAACAGTAGAAAGGTTCATGGCTTTGATTTCTGTCAAATAAAATTATTATTGTAAGTACCGTTAGAGACTTCATACAAACTAGTTTCAAAAAATAGAATATTCAAATATCCTTTATTTTCAGGTGTATATAACTTGTAAATATCGTACAGAGCAAGCATTTTTTTCATATTTCCTTAATGTTTTATAAAAATCGAACAAGTTGGAATGTCAATCAAGCTTCAAAATTTTTCGGTTTTACTTTCTGAGCTATGGACTATAAGACAAAAAACTAAAAATACTTTTTGATATCGATAATTTGCAACAATTAAGTAAATAAAAGAATTTATTTTCATACCAATAAATATTTCTCAAACATTTCCCAAATAAACAGAACTCAATCTCACAATAGCTGTGTAAATACTACAATAACGAAATCGTCTCAACAGGATGAAAGCAGGTGCGAACGCTACCGTAAATAAGCTATACCCACAACTTATCCCGATTGGACGCCAAACAGTGTACTTTTGTGTTAGATGAGATGAAAAATTACTAAATTGGATTGGATTAGCAAAAAAATTGAGCAATTTAGTTTATTGATGAATATGCTAATAACTATTAATAAAGAAAACTTTTTATTTGATGTGAATGTGTTGAGGGAAGAACAAGGATCGTGACAGTATGACATGTGCTTACTAGTAATGTACGTCAGGGTTATATTTCCGCACAATTTACTATCCCACAACCACCTCCCAAACAGAAGTATTATATCTATATTAGCAATCTATCTCTTAGTCTTTTTTCAGACCTTAACTGAAGGTACCACTCGGAGTTATCAAGAAGAGTACTAGACTAAGGAACTCTGAGATAGTGTATCTTTATCTATACTAATAAAGTTTGTGAGTTTGTGACGTTGTAGGGGGGGGGGGGTAATCTCTGGATTTACTGTGCCGACTTAGATGAAATTTATTAAAAAGATAGTTTGAAATCCTGGGAAGGACATAGGATACTTTTTATCCCGGAAATCATTCCTTAAGGGGGTAAAAATGGGGATGAAATTTTGTATGGGGAATCAAGCTAGGGACGAACCCGAGCGAAGCGAGGGTAAGTTGCTAGTATTAGTAAAAGAATTATTTGAATCAGCTACTAAGTGCAAAAAATTAGCGATCTGGCCTATAGTCCTTTGACGTAGAGATTAACTTTCTTAAAAAACATGAAAATTGCTTAAAGGTATCGTGTACACAAAAAAGTGAATTTGTATTGAGTATCATCCTTTTAAAATAAAAGATATAAGAATTCTCTCTTTTTTTAAATACATAATGTTAAATGTGGTCAGTACATAACATCTGTTGGCTTCAGTTGCCAAGTACGATACATTCCCCTAATAGTGAGATTACAAATCGCGTCGCTTATCCAACCACTGGCATGATTCGGATTTAACTCAACGTTTTGTCATTTCTGTCTACAGATTGATTCCATGCGGTAATATTATATTAATCATTTTAGAGAAATTATTCAAGTTTTAAAAGTAAAAAAGGATTTTAAACTTTAACAGTTTTAAAACTGTTAATTTTAATATAATCTTCTAATATTATAAATGCGAAAGTGACTCTGTCTATGTCTTTAGATGATATTTGGTATAGAGATAGTTTGAGACCCTATAAAGAATATAGGATAGTTTTTATTCCGAAAATCATTTCTCAAGTAAGGGATATAATATATATATATATATATATATATATATATATATAAGACGGAGGAGGATTTAGTTACCTTTTTCTGTTATGAAACCTTATTATTGTTTAAAGTCACTATGTTCTTTAATTTACTTTTTATTGCTTCTAAATAGATTTTGAATTTAGAGCAGAGATTTAGTCACGAGCGGGGTCGAGACGCCATCACGACATTCTTTGCAGATACGTGGTGTAGTAAAGTCGGTTGATCTTAAAGAGTTATGTTTGATATTGTAGTTGGAAGTCGATGATCGGTGACTGTGAACCCGCTAGCTCTAAATCATTAGAATTACCGTTTCAAGTTTATAACATTGTGACTTCCCTGATTAAATTGTGTATTGAGCACTGAATACTTTATTATTTGAGCCCTGATAACGCCCACAAGATGAGTAACCACCAAAAATGATGTTCGTAGTATATGGATAACACGACATCAGAAGTGGTATGATACCCGAAGAACAGGGCAAAGATAAATGACAGCGGCCATTTGAAAATTTTTTCAGACTTTGAAGCGAAATACGATGTTAAATGTTAAAAAAGACGCACAAAATGGCGATGCATATGCGGGTTGTTTTTCAGAAGATTTACTTTTACTTTGATAATCATGAATCATGATATATGATATGCAGGATGCTCAAAAGATTAAAATAATCATAGATGTCTCAATTTAATTTTTATGAAATGACATGACGTCGTCAAAAATTTTTGCTAGCTGGATTTGATTTTCTTAATATTATCGCAGAAATATTTTTGAACACGATATGTATGGAAAAATTAAATGGAAAATTTGTTTATTTCAGGATGATATATGAAGTTAATTTATTTAATCGATAAATCACGAGAATTATTTTTGAAATGTTTTTGTTCCATGCTTATAAGGACCTTCTTCTAGTTATGAAATAAAATATAAATCGTGTCAGAATTTTAGTGTCAAAAATGTTTTGTATTGTAATTGTTTGCTTTATATTTTCTTTATTTCAGGATTTCTAAAGTGAAAATAATGAGTTGATATTTTTGTTTAAAGATTTGACTAACAGATTTAACTATTTATCGACGGAAAATAAACGGACGATATTTGCGCATTATATTGGGAAAATTACATAGTTCCTTTAACTTGCGTATTCATTTCTGTTATAAAAATTTTATTTAGCAGTTGATACTAATTTAAAAAATTTCTAGCAGTCCATCAGGTATAATATGTTCCAAAAGTAATATGAGAAATAGTCAACTGTATTAATGGCAATACAGCGAAGAACTAATGTTTGTGTACACTCCGAAGACATTCTCATACGCAGGCTACGATAGAAATCTTTGAATATAAT